GGGCATTGTGGCAGGCACCTGTAGTCCCAGCTACTTGGGAGGCTGAGGCAAGAGAATCGCTTAAGCCCAAGAGTTTGAGGTTGCTGTGAGCTGTGAGTCCACAGCACCCTACCAAGGGCAACATAATGAGACACTGTCTCCAAAAAAAAAAAAAAAAATTGTACTTTTAGAAAGCGAACTGGGTTGTTTGGATATGAAGAGTAACAACTCCTCAGGCATTTTTTTCATGAACATGCTCAGAGTCTAAATGTGTCTGGGCGTCATGGAATGGCATATACCATGCTGTAGGCGTCTTCCCGTGTGTAGGTGAGTAGCTCTGCCTCCTCTGGCCCCAGCCGCAGCCGGGCCTCCCTCTCCCGCAGATTGTCCAGGTTCCGGGACTCCCATTCCCTCATTGCAGCTGTCACTGTACCCTAGTAGAAAGAGCAGCAGAGTCTGTGGAAATTAGAGCAACAGACCCTGCCCATCCTTCCCCTCGGGATGCTTACTGCCGGTGCCTCTGTGTGTAGGGACATGACCCTCCCACCTCATGGCCCCACCCATCATTTATCAAACATAATCTGCTTCGAATCAAGTAAAGACATCATAGTAAAAAATAAGCTTCACAGTTGCCTACACAGGGTTTTCCAAGACTCCTTTAATATTAACTCAGTTTCTATACTGGTGGGTCTGGGGGGTCATTCCTTTAACTTTATGAAATCATAGTTACTTTAAATAAAATTTAACACTAAAGATTTTGAAATTTTTCACATTAAACTAATCAAAGTTGATTCTCTTACCTCACTAGTTCTTTCTTTTTCTTGCTCAAGGGAAGTATGAAATAATTCCAGGTAATTTAAAGCATATTTTTCAATTGGTGTAAGCTGTTTTAAAAATACATTTTTGAATAATATTAATAGCAAGTTAATAAAACAACAACCTATGTTCCTTATACCCCACTCACCAACATTTGAATCAAAATGTGATTATTCTTGGCTTAAGTAAACAAGAAACATTTTACAGTAAGGTCAAGTTCACAGGCAACAGTCCCCAGACCTGCTCCATGAAGTCTGCAAGCTCCTCCAGCTGTGATGGCTCCTCCCCACACCTGGCACCCTCCACGTCTGATGACAGGATGTCAGTGTTGGACCCAGGCACTGCTTCCTCTACAGACTTTTGGGCATCTTCCTCCAGATACTCAATACTCTTGAGGGCCTAAAGAAATTCTATGTTTAGATTACACTCTGATATACTTTTTTTTTTTTTTTTGAGACAGAGCCTCAAGCTGTCCCCCTGGGCAGAGTGCCGTGGCATTATAGCTCACAGCAACCTCCAACTCCTGGGTTCAAGCGAGTCTCCTGCCTCCGCCTCCCAAGTAGCTGGGACCACAGGCGCCCACCACAACGCCCGGCTATTTTTTGGTTACAGCCATCATTGTTGTTTGGCGGGTCCGGGCTGGGGATTCGAACCCACCACCTTAGGTGTACATGGCTGGCGCCTTAGCCGGTTGAGCTATAGGCGCCGAGCCTGATATACTTTTTAAATGAAGGAGTTCTGAGAAAGGGCCGCCCTATATGAACTACAGAGATACCAACCCTGTAAACAACCAACTCTTCCTGAGTGTGTAAAGTGGTCAGATGACACAAGCAACGTTGGGCCTTCTGGAAGTTACTATCAAGTTGGAAGGAAAGACCCATAGAAGAGCTGGGCACTAATACAATAAAGTTCATCCAAAACAAAGGGAGAGACCAACAAGACCTCCCTAAGCCTCATACCCCAGGAATAAGGAAGGGCCTGTGGTTTTGTCTCACTCCCATACAATCAGCCATGGCTCTGAGCCACAGAGGACAGGAGGGTGCTGTCCACAGCCCATGCAGGCTAAGACCAGCCCTTTGAAGCCAGAAGCAAGTCCACAGAGAAATGCAATACAGAGACTGTAAACACAGCAGCAGTCAGCTGTACCACAGTCTAAAATATGCAAAATACAAATTAAAATAAGGAAATAAGACTTATCTGAGATGGGGATACAGTTTTTAGTTAGATGATATAAATTAAAAACTGGTACAACCTTCCCATACTGCAGAAATTATTCTCAAAAACTGAGAAGGAAAGAATCTTCCCCAACACGTTCTAGGAAGCAAACATCACCCTGATACCAAAACCAGGAAAAGACCCAACTAGAAAGGAGAATTTCAGACCAATTTCACTAATGAATATAGATGCAAAAATTCTCAACAAAATCCTAGCCAATAGATTACAGCTTATCATCAAAAGAGTCATATATCATGATCAAGTAGGTTTTCTTTTTCTTTTTTAAGAGACAGTCTCACTTTACTGAGTCTCTCAGTAGGGTGCTGTGACGTCACAGCTCACAGCAACCTCCAACTCTTGGGCTTAGGCGATTCTCTTGCCTTAGTCTCTTGAGTAGCTGAGACTACAGGCACCCGCCACAACACCCAGCTATTTTTTTGGAGCAGTATGGCCGGGGCCGGGTTCGAACCTGTCACCCCCAGTATATGGAGCCAGAGCCCTACTCACTGAGCCACCAGCGCCACCCAATCAAGTAGGTTTCATCCCAGGGATATAAGGCTGGTTTAACATACTTAAGTCCATAAACATTATTCACTGTATCAACAGAAGCAAAAGCAAATACCATATGATCCTCTCAATAGATGCAGAAAAAGCATTCAATAAAATCCAGCATCCTTTTCTAATTAGAACACTGAAGAGTACAGGCATAGGTGGCACATTTCTTAAACTGATCGAAGCTATCTAATGGCAAACCCACAGCTAATATTTTACTGAATGGAATAAAACTGAAAGCTTTTCCTCTTAGAACTGGAACCAGGCAAGGTTGTTCTCTATCACCATTACTATTCAACATAGTGCTGGAATTTCTAGCCAATACAATTAGGCAAGATAAGGAAATAAAGGGCATCCAAATGGGAGCAGAGGAGGTCAAACTCTCCCTCTTTGCTGACAATATGATCTTATACTTAGAGAACCCCAAAGACTCAACCACAAGACTCTTAGAAATCATAAAAAAATATAGTAATGTCTCAGGTCATAAAATCAGTGTCCACAAGTCAGTAGCCTTTGTATATGTCAATAAGAGCCAAGGTGAGAGGCTAATTAAGGACACAACTCCCTTCACCACAGCTTCAAAGAAAATGAAATACCTAAGAATATACCTAACAAAAGAGGTGAAGGACCTCTATTAAAAAAATTATGAAATCTTAAGAAAGGAAATCACAGAGAATATTAACAAATGGAAGAACATACAATGCTCATGGCTGGGAAGTATCAACATTGTTAAAATATCTATATTTCCCAAAACAATCCACTGATTCAATGCCATCTCTATTAAAATATCAACATCGTACTTGTAAGAAACGATTCTACATTTTGTATGGACCTAGAAAAACCCCCATATAGCTAAGGCAGCTACAAAACTGCCGGGGCAGTTTGTTTGTAATAAAAACAAAGCCGGGGGCATCAGCATACCAGATTTTAGGCTGTACTACAAAGCCATAGTGGTCAAGACAGCATGATACTGGCACAAAAATAGAGTTGGAAGGAAAGACCCATAGAAGAGCTATGGGTTAAATAGAAAATCAGGAAATGGAACTAACATCTTACAACCACCTAACCTTTGACAAATCAAACAAGAACCTACACTGGGGGAAAGACTCCCTACTCAATAAATGGTGCTGGAAGAACTGGATATCCACATGTAAAAGACTGAAACCGGACCCACACCTTTCTACTCACAAAAATTGATTTGAAATGGATATAGGATTAAATTTAAGGCATGAAACAATAAAAATCCTCAAAGAAAGCGTAAGAGAAATGCTGGAAGATATTGGCCTGGGGCAATTGCAATAACAACAAAAATAAACAAAGGGGCCTTAATTAAACTGAAATGCTTCTGTACAGCTAAGGAGACAATAACCAAAGCAAACAGACAACCTACCCAATGGGAAAGGATATCTGCATATTTTGAATCAGACAAAAGCTTGATACCTAGGATCTACATAGAACTCAAATTAATACACACACAAAAAGCCAACAATCCCATATGTCAATGGGCAAGAGACATGAATAGAACCTTCTCTAAAGAAAACAAATGAATAGCTAACAAACATATGAAAAATTACTCATCATTCCTAATTATTAGAGAAATGCAAATCAAAACCACCCTGAGATACTATCTAACACCAGCAAGAATGGCCCACATCACAAAATCTCAAAACTGCAGATGCTGGTGTGGATGTGGAGAGAAAGGAACACTTTTACACTGCTGGTGGGACTGCAAACTAATGCAACCTTTTTGAAAAGAAGTATGGAGAGCCCTCAAAGAACTCAAGCTAGACCTTCCATTTGATCTTGCAATCCCATTACTGGGCATCTACCCAGAAAGAAAAAAATCCTTTTATCATAAGGACACTTGCACTAGACTATTTATTGCAGCTCAATTTAAAATCGCCAAAATGTGGAAAAGCCTAAATGCCCACCAACCCAAGAATGGATTAATAAGCTGCGGTATTTGTACATATACTGAATGTGAAATACTATTCAGCCATTTAAAAAGGAAACTTTACAGCCTTTGTATTAACCTAGATAGAAGTGGAACACATTATTCTTAATAAAGCATCTCAAGAACAGAGAAGCATGAATCCTATGTACTCAATTTTGATATGAGGACAATTAATGACAATTAGAGACATGGTGAGGGAAGGGGAGAACAGAGAGAGAAAGAAGGAGGGAGAATAGGGGAAAGGAGGAGCAGAGAGAGGGAAGGAGGGAGGGGAGTAGGGTCTTGGTGTGTGCCACACTTTTTGGGGGCAAGACACAATTATAAGAGGGACTTTACCTAACAAATGCAATCAGTGTAACTTGGTTTCTTGTACCCTCAATGAATCCCCAACAATAAATAAATAAATAAATAAGAAAAATAAAAGAAAAAACTGGTACAACCCATTTCCAGGGCAATCTGGCAAATTCTGAGAAGTTTAAGATAAAACCCAAACTCACACTATGCAGAAAAATTACTTTCAAATAGACTGTCCATCTAAATGTGAAAAATGAAATGATTAAATAACTAGAAGAAAATAAAGGAGGAGGCATGGTAACCACTTTAGAGCAGGCAAAGGATATCTTCAGCAAAACACAAAAGCTTCAGCCGCGAAGATAGGAGATGTGATCTCTGGATAGTGTCAGCAGTAGGAATCTCTACTTACTGGCAGGCAGCATTACAAAAGGCAAACCACAGGCTACAACAATGGCTGTTCCCTCAGAGCTGGGAAGCCCTCGTTCCGGGATGAATTGCTCCCAAAAGGTGACATAGAGAAGACTAAAGAGGTGGAAGAGGACGACAACAACAAGCTAGATGAGACCCAGTTGGAGAGACTATGGAGTTGACCAAGATCTTCCTGGAGAGGGTCCATTCTGCGGCCAGAGCCACTTTTGATCTCTCCCTTGTTGTGGCTTAAAAAATGTACAGGTTTTCCAGGGCAGCCTTATGGATTGGGACCACTTTCCTTTATAATCCTGGTTCTTCCTGTTGTTCTGAGACTGTGAAGTCGCAAATGGAGCAACAGCAACAATTGCAACAGCGGCAGATACTTCTAGGGCCTGACACAGGGCTGTCCAGAGGAATGCCAGGGGCTCTACCTTCACTTCTTGGGAAGATCTAGATTGTACTACTACATTGGTGGGACAAGTTCAAAATTCAGTAGTATTTGAACTGATTATTTGGATTTTTTTTAAACTTTGGCACACTGATCTATCTAAACCTGGGGGTACGGAAATTCTCCCCCACATTGTCTTATGGATAGACTGTCAACTTGCAACCGTACCCTCCACGATATCCTGACTTATATTTTCTGTCCTCACTCTGATACAAGAGTGCAGCCGTGCAGATGGTTATTCCAGCTCTGGCCACCCCACCCCTTTGACTAAATTGCTTCTAACTGGAAGATCTCACTATCCCACTGTGGGGTAGGAACTGATGCCAGTGGGAGGAATGTATCCCTCACCATTAATGACTTTTTTTTTTTTTTAAAGAATGTGATGTCTGGGAGGGACATGAACATAATATCAAATACGCAAAATGCATTACAACTGTCGTGTAAAGCCGCCACTATGAATCCCTGTATATGTTGGAAAGGAGAAAAGCAGGCTGCAGCTTCAGCCACAAGATGGGGACTGTGGAGGACAGAGCAGGAGCTCACTTCCTCTGCACATTTTGGCTATTAGACGTGAGTATGTTAAAAAAAAAACAAACAGTGCTCACTTTTTGTATTTAAACATTAAAAATGATTCCAATGGGGAAAAAAAAAGGCAAACCACAGAACAGGAAAGATATTTTACACATACTCAACAAAGACCTTCTTGTTTCCAGAATATATAAAGAATTCTGACAAGCCATTAAGAAAAAAAGATAAGGCTCAGCGCCTGTGGCTCAAGCAGCTAAGGCGCCAGCCACATATACCTGAGTTGGCAGGTTCAAATCTAGCCCGGGCCTGCCAAACAACAATGATCGCTGCAACCAAAAACTAGCCAGGCGTTGTGGTGGGTGCCTGGAGTCCCAGCTACTTGGGAGGCAGAGGCAGGAGACTCGCTTGAGCCCAGGAGTTGGAGGTTGCTGTGAGCTGTGATGCCATAGTACTCTACCCAGGGCGACAGCTTGAGGCTCTGTCTCAAAAAAAAAAAAAAAAGAAAAGAAAAAGAGATAATCCAGTTTTTAAAAACTTGCAAAATGATTTGGGTTACAGATTTTAACTTCTTTAAAAAGTATCCAAACTGGGCTGGGCAGGGTGGCTCACACCTGTAATCCTAGCACTCTGGCAGGCCAAAGTGGGTAGACTGCCTGAGCTCATAGACAGGTTTGAGACCAGCCTGAGCCAGAGCAAGACCTCGTCTCTAAAAATAGCCGGGCGCCGGTAGTCCTAGCTACTCGGGAGGCTGAGGCAAGAGAATCACTTCAGCCCAAGAGTTTGAGGTTGCTGTGAGCTGTGACTTCATAGCACTCTAAGGGTAACAAAGTGAGACTCTGCCTTAAAAAAAAAAAAAAGTATCCAAACTGCTAGCAAAATATAAAGAGGCACTCAAATTAATTAGCCATCAATAAAATTAAAACCACAGAGAGAGAGATTATTATATACCCCCCAGACAGCCAAAGTGAAAAGGACCAACAATTCCAAGTCTTAGGGATGACACACAGCAACGCCAACGCGCAGGCATTGCTAACAGAGAGTGCCTAGTCCACCCACTTTGGGAAACTGGCGGGCAGCATCCATTAAAGTCAAACACATGCAGGACTCCACCCCAATGCATGCATTCAACAGACATGCACCTGCATGTTCACCAAAAGGCATGTGTAAAGATATTCATAGAAAAATGACTCCAAATGATGATTCTATTGTGTCCATGAACAAGATGGATAAATCAAATCCTACAGCTGCAGTCTCACGTGGCAGAGAACACAAGGCACTTATCACAGATCGGTCTACATTGGTGAAAAACCAATGCCCACCTAGCCCTCTACCATGAGGCCAAGCCAGCAAGGAGCAGCCCTCCTTTCCCTCCCACTCCAGCAAGCCTTGAACACTGCCTCCCAGCTATCTGCTGCTCCTGCCCTTGCCTGTGGCATCACCACTGTGGCCTCTTGACTGGTCCTGAGTTGGTCAGACTCCAACACCCCCAAGAGCTTCACCTTACCACCGCCCGCAACCATACTAACTCCTGGCTATGGGGACAGACCACAGAGTTCTACCTCGGACATTCACATACTCTCCTGCTCAATTCAGCACCGCACAACTACTCCTAGGATTAAATCACACAGTTGACCCAATTGGTTTCTATCTCTCTCCTTGTTAGAATACAAGCTTCATGACAGGTGATGTTGTCTATTCTCAACCCATCCTCCCCACTGCCTAGCAAAGTGCCTGACACACCTTGTGGCATGCAATAAATATTTTGTTTCAAAAGGGGCTAAGGGGCAGTGTCAGTGGTTCAAAGGAGTAGGGCACCAGCCCCATATGCCGGAGGTGGTGGGTTCAAACCAAGTCCCAGCCAAAAACTGCAAAAAATAATTAAATAAATAAAACCAAATTTATTTAAAAAAAAAAA